ACACACATGCAGGCAATACACTTGTACACATAAAATAAAAATAATAAAGTATTTTAAATGGAAACTCTTTTTATCTTTCAATGGATAGATTTTAAGTTAATTGTACGTTTCACTGGTATATAAACCTTCTGAGGGCAGAAATTTTTTTCTCTTCTCTGATTTAAAATAGTGCTTGTAGGGGGCTAGAGAGATGGCTCCACGGTTAAGAGTGTTTACTGCTCTTGCAGAGGATCTAAATTTTGTTCCTTAGCACACACATGGCAGCGACAGTTTCTTGTAACTCGAGTTCTGAGGGATCTGATGCCTTCTTCTGCACTCCCTAGGCAGTGCATGCACATCATGCACATATACACAAGCAGGCACACACATATACAGTAATGAAAAATATTTAAGATATTCCTTGTGCAGCTGAAGAGATGGCTCAGTGTTAAGAGCACTGACTGCTCTTGCAGAGGGCCCGGGTTCACATCCCAATACCCATATGGCTGCTATGAACCGTCCTTAACTTCCAGTTCCAGGGGACTCCGAAGTCCTCTTCTGACCTCTGCAGCATTGCACGACAGGGGCGGGTGCACTCACATATATGCAGGCAATACACTCATACACATAAAAATAATAAATAAAATATTTAAAAAAATAAAATAGTTCTTGTGTAATGTAGGTCCTCAACAGTTTGTTGAGTAAATAAATTGTCTCACTGATGGGATTTTCAAATCAGACATTCATTATTATTTCACTGGTTACCACCATTTGTGCCATTAGACTACTGCCTAACTAGTTACACAGATGTTATCAGGGAAAGATGCTAATGAAACATATTCTCACTGCAGCTCAGTAGGTTTGGGGTAAGACCAGGCTTAAAAGAATTTTTAAGTACATCCACTCTAAGACCTGAAAAATCTGCTCCGTAAGAAGAGCCAATGTTTCTCCTTTTAGAATTCTACTTTTTCAGAGAGTATGATACCACCTATTGGGCAATCTCCCACCCCACCCCAGGAGACATTTTGCAAGATCTGGAAATGTTTTTGGTTGTCTCAACTAAAGAGATGTTATCACAACTGATACCTAATGGGTAAAGCCAAGGGATGTTGTTAAACCCTCACAGTGTATAGAACATCTTTCAAACAAAAGTTATCTGACCCAAAATGTCATAATGATCTCATTTCAGGTTGTATTTCAGACACACAGTTTGGTGCTTATGCCCAGTGCCCATAGAATGGGTCACTTAGAGTTAGCCTCCTTTGTGCAATATACAGGTTTCATTTCTTATTTCTTTTAATATAATTAAAAAGTCCTTCCTAATTTTTCAGAACTCTGCCAGACTTTTCTACTGCACAAATAATGATTATATATGTCTGTGGCGTACAGGGTGGTTGAGAAATCATATTTTAAATATCCTCACTATACATAGTACTACATAACAAGCCAGGTAATGGGGATTGGAGGCAGTCCTTTTATATATTAACTCATTACTTACTTT